TTTTTTTTTTTTAATTTTTATTTATTTCTAGGAGAGAGAGAGAGAGAGAGAGAGAGAGACAGCGCGAGCAGGGGAGGGTCAAAGAGGGAGGGAGTCACAGACTGAAACAGGCTCCAGGCTCTGAGCTGGCAGCCAGCACAGAGCCCGACGCGGGGCTCGAACCCACGAACCGCGAGATCATGACCTGAGCGAAAGTCGGACGCTCAACCGACTAAGCCACCCAGGCGCCCCTCTATTGCTGTATTTTTGCAGTAAATCTTGAAATCAAAAAGTGTGAGTCTTCCAACTTTGTTTTTCTTTGTCAAAATTATTTTGGGTATTCTGGGTCCCTTGAAATTCCATATGAAATTTAGAATGTTATTTTTCTGTGTCTACAGACAAAGTTTTCAGGGCTTCGGGAGTGATGGCCGTGACCTTGCAGAGGAGCCTGGGTTCTGGGAAGGCTGTCATCTCAGCAGCGTCCAGTCACCAGGCCGTGAACATAGGATGTCTGTCCGCATATTAACGCCTTTCACAGTCCTTCAGTAACTGTGTAGTTACCGTCAACAAGTCTTGCGTCTTGCTGACCAAATTTATTTCTAAATATCTTACTCTTTTTGGTGCCATTTTAAAGGGAATTTGCCCTTCATCTGAAAGGCGAGTTGATTTCTGCACGATTTCTGTGTGATTTGTGTCCCGCCGCCTTCCTGAAGCCATCAGCGCTGAAGGTCGTGTGTTGTGCGGGAGACTAGAGCTTCCTACGCGTGAGACAGCGCCGCTGTGAACACGGAGCTCGGCTCTTCCTTCCCGGGTTCCAGGCCTGTTACTTCTCTCCGGGGCGATCGCTCGCTCTGGCCAGAACCCCCGGGACTCTGCTGAGAGGCAGCGCCAGCAGGTCTTGTCCTGATCCCGGGGGAGACCTCTCGCTCCCTCCCCCGAGCAGGTGTCGGCTGCGGGTCCACACGTGGCCTGTCCTACGCTCAGGAAGTCTCCTTGCATCCCACGCTCAAGCGTGTCCAGCGTGACAGAAGGCGGCGTCTTGTGAGATGTCTTTTCTGCCCCAACGGAGAGGAGCATGTGGCTATCCCGGCGGTGCCGTCCGTGTGGTGTGGACACTGGGCTCCCGACGCTGAGCCACCCGTGCATCCTCTCCCGCCAGGGACGCACCCCCAGCGGCCTCTGAGGGCCCGTCCCCAGGCTCACCATGCCTCTCGGGACCCTGGACAGGCCGTCGGCCCCTCTGGGGGCGTGAAGGGTCCTGGTGCGTCTCCTGTCACCCTCCACGGACGACGCTGCAGGCAGCGTGTTCAAGGGCTGTAGCTGCCAAAGAAGAAACCGTCAATTTGATCGCACCCCCTCCAGCTGAGTCTCCCGCCACTGTCCCTGCACAGGGGCTGTCACACCCGTGGGGCTAGTCCCAGGTCTCCACACCTCCTGAATGACAGCGCGAGGACGGCACCTCTCAGCGACCCGCCAAGGACGGCTTCTCCAGCGGCCGCGGCCGAGGGCCATGTCTCGGACGAGGACGGCAGCCCGCAGCTCGGCCGTGCGCGGGAAGGACGTGGACCACGAGCCAGGAGCCATGAGCACTCCCACAGCACAGCAGCCGTGCCAGCGACCGCAGCGCCTGAGCCGGACCCACGAGGAGCAGGCCCCTTCCTGCACCGGCACGTGTCCGCCCTCCCCGGTCCCCGCACAGCACGTCCCTCCCCAGACCTCTCCCCTCCCACAGAGCTGTCCCCCCACGGCCCCCACGGCGGCCCCTGCCCTCCCCCACCCCTGCTGCCAGTTTCTGTGTCTCGAGGCCGCTGACGGCAAGTCCGCTGGGAGGCACGAAGGAGGCGCCCTCGCTCTGCTCCGCTCACCTCAGTGGGCCGAGTCCTGCTGCGCGTTTCTGTCCAGGCTCCGATCACACTGTCTGAATTCCCCACCCGCCCTGGAACCTGGCTTTTCCTGCGGCCACAAGAGACCTGGGGCCGCCCCGCTGCAGACCCCAAGCCACGCGGCAGAAGGACTTAGGGGACACGGCGCTCCGCTCCCCCTGGGACCACGTGCAGCTGGCCCTGGGGCGGCTTTTCCTGAGGCCACATCCCTGGCAGGAGCCCCAGCGCAGAGGTTGAGGGGGGTGGCCGGAAAGAGAAGGGTCCAAAGCCACGTGAGAGTACGTGCCATAGAAACCACCCAGAATCCACGGAGGAGGGAAGGCGGGTCGGGTAGCATCTGCTCCGTCTGAGGGGACTCGCTGCTGCCACTCCCGGTGCCCCTGGAAGTGCCCACACGGGGACGGTGATGCCTCTCCTCGCCCTCGCCTTCTAACCGGCTTCTCCGGAGGAGCGACAACTGGGAGTAAGGGCGGACGTGAAGCGGTGTAAACACAGCCTGAGTCACCTGCAATGAGCACGTGCAGAAAGCCCCCGGGTGTTTGTAACTGGAGCCCACCCGGCCCACACCCAGCACCGGAACCGCCGGCCCAGCCGCTCGAAGGCGTTTGGACGTTTCTCACCCACTGCTTCCGCTTGCTGTTGTGGGGACACACGGTGGTGCCGCCCCTGCTGGTGCCGGAGGGGAGGCCGCGGGGTCCTGTCCGCTGGCAGCCTCGCTTCTGCCTCGAGGTCACCGGCGCCACTTTGTGAAAATCTGCTGCGCTGGGCACTTGTGATGTGTGACTTAAACTTCGGTAGAAGGAAGATAAACAGGTCGTTCCCAGAGACGATCGGGGACACTCTCTTTTAGGAAGCGGATGGGACGGGTCCTACTGTTTTTATCAGCATCTCATCCCTGGGACAGGGTTCTGGGTCCCAGCCCTGCCCGACTCAGGAGCACCAGCGACCCTGCTGTGGCCAAGTGTGTGTGTGTGTTGGGGGGGGGAGTTATGTGCGTCATTTCCAAACAGAAGCTTCTAGAGCCCCTCCCTCATCTCTCTCCCTCCTCCCTCCCTCCCTCCTCCTCGCGGTGGCCCACTGGTCGGTGGGGTCTTACCTGCACCACTGGGTGGCTTCTCAGGGCAAGAGGCAGAGGGGAGAGACAACAACAATAGTTAAAGATGGACACGGCCTGGAGTGGGGGGGGGAGGGGAGGCGGGAGGGGAGATGGACGGGAGTGGGGGAGGGAGGAGGAGGAGAGAAGGAGGGAGGAGAAGGAAGATAAGGGGAAGGGGAGGGAGGAGGAGGGGGATGGAAGGGGAGGGGGGAGGAGGAGAGAGAAGGAGGGGGAGGGGGAGGGAGGAAGTGAGGAGGGGGAGGAGAGTAGGAAGGGGGAGGGGAGGAGGGGAAATGTTGGGGGAGGGGGGAGGGGAGGAGGGGGAGGGAGGAGGAGGGGAAATGTTGGGGGGGGAGGAGCCAGCACCAGCACCAGCACAGGGTGGGCCTGGGGCTCCTGCCGGGAGGAAGAGCCTGGAGGGTGGAGCTAGGAGGAAGCAGGCGGGGGCGGAAGGGCCTGTGCTGACCCCCAGAGTGTGGCCAGCGCGCCTGACAGTGGCCGAGGTTGGGAGGAGCAGATGCCCATGTCTGCGTCGCCCTCCAAGTCAAACCCGCCATCATGCTTGCACCCCACACCTACACGATAGCTTGTGCTAACTTTCCTTTTACACTTTTCATTAAAATGGCTCACTTTTAACAAGGTGAATTTGAAACACCATACTGTTTACATTAGCACCCAGAAAAGTGGAATATTTAGGTATAAATCTAACAAAATACGACAAGATCTATATGAACAAAACTACAAAACTGATCAATGAAATCAAAGAACTAGACAGATACTCCATGCCACGACCAGGGAGGCTCAACATCGCCAAGAGGTCAGTTCTTCCCACGTTGATGTATGGATTCAACGCCTTCCCAGTGAAATCCCGGCAAGTGATTTTATGAATATTAACAAGCTGACTGTAGGCATTATATAGAGACGCCAACGTCCAGAATAGTCAACACAACGTTAATAAGCAACAGGACCGATGGCTCGTGACGTCCAGCTCCAGTCACGACGTGGGGCTGGTGAGAACAGATGGCGGCTCAGTGGGGCAGAGCCCAGGGACACAGCCAAGGACGCAGTCACCGGTGTCTGGCAGAAGAGTGAATGACGGAACAAAGTCTTTTCAGCACACAGTGCCGGGACAGCTGGACGTCCTCACAGAGAAACCAGCTGAGTCCTGACACAGCCCTCACACGATTCACAGGAGTCAACTCAGCATGCATCACAGGCCTGCTGCGTGGAACACTCAAGTTTCTAGAACACTTGGGAGAGAACCCAGGGGACCTGGGCAGGACGACCAATCGTCAGCAGGGACTCCAAAGACAAGACCCGTGAAGGAAAAACCTGATAAGCTGGACTTGATTAAAATTAGAAACCTGTGCTCTGTGACAGTCACTGCCAAGAGACTGGAAGACAAACCACATCTGATAGAACACTGTTACCCAAAACACAGACACTCTTAAAACACAGTAATGAGGGAACAACAACCCAATTTAAAAATGGGGCAAAGAAGCGTCTGGGTGGCCCCGAGAGTTGGGCGTCCGACTTCGGCTCAGGTCATGATCTCACGGTTCGTGGGTTCGAGCCCCGCGTCAGGCTCTGTGCTGACAACTCAGAGCCTGGAGCCTGTTTCAGATTCTGTGTGTCTCTCTCTCTCTACCCATCCCCTGCTCATGCTCTGTCTCTCTCAAAAATAAACAAAAATTTTTTTTAAAAAAAATGGGCCAAAGACTTGAACAGATACCTCACCAAAGGAGACATTCAGTTGGCAGATAAGCACATGAGAAGATGCTCTACATCATATGCCATCGGGGAAATGGAAATTACAATGAGACACCACTACACTTTTATTAGAAAGGCCAAGGTCCAGAACACTGACACGACCAGTTTCTGAAATTGGACCCCTATCTTACACCACTCGCAAAAATTAACTTGAAATGGATTAAAGACTTTAACATAAAACCTGAAGCCATAAAACTCCTAGTAGAGCACACAGGGGAAAAGCTCGCTGGCAAAGGCCTTGGTGAGAATTTCATGGATAGGACACCAAAAGTATAAGCAACAAAACCCAAAGTAAGCAAGGGGGTCTACATCCAACTAAATGTTCCTGGGCAGGGCGCCTGGGGGTCTCAGTCTGTTAAATAGCCGACTTCGGCTCAGGTCTTGATCTCACAGCTCATGAGTTCAAGCCCCGTGTTGGGCTCTGTGCTGACAACTCAGAGGCTGGGGCCTGTTTCAGATTCTGTGTCTCCCTCTCTCTGACCCTCCCCTGCTCATGCTGTCTCTCTCTCTCTCAGAAATAAATAAAACATAAAAAAAAAAAAAAAAGTTCCTGTGCATCAGAAGAAACCTAGCAACAAAATGACAAGGCAATTCACAGAATGAGAGGAAGCAGTTGCAAACCATGTACTGAATATGGGGTTAAATAACCAAAATACATACAGAGAACATACAACTCAATAAATAACAACCACATACATAATCTAGTTAAGAGACAGGCAGAGAACCTGAACGGACATTTCTCCACAGAGGACACGCAGATGCAAACAAACGCATGAGAAGCAGCTCAGCATCAGGAAAACATACACTGAACCCACAAGGTGACATCACCCCACAAGGTGATGTCACCTCGCACCCGTTAGAATGGCCATCGGCAAAAACACGAGAAACAGCAGGTGTTGGTAACAATGTGGAGAAGGGACCCTTGAGCACGGCGGGTGGGAATGCAAACTGGGGTAGGCGCTCTGGAAAACAGTGTGGAGGCTCCCCTAAAAGCTAAAAATAGAACTACCCTACCACCCAGCAGCTCTGCTTTGGGGCATATTTCCACAGGAAATGAAAGAGATTATCATAGAGATGTCTGCACTCCTATGTTCACTGCAACATTATTCACAACACCCAAGATCTGGAAACAACCTAAGTGTGCATCAGCAGACGAGTGGATAAAGACGACGCGGTGTATACACAATGGAATGTTACTCTGGCACAAGAAGGATGTCCTGCCGTTTGCAGCAACACGGATGGAGGGCGTTATGCTATGTGCAAGAGCCAAGCAGAGAAAGACAAGTACATGTGTAGAGTGCAAAAAAATCCAAAGGCCTAGAAGCACAGAATAGAACGGTGCCTACCAGGGCCTCAGTGGCTGGAGAAATAGGGAGTTATTGCTCGTCCAATTACAAGACAGGTAAATTCTGGGGTTCTCACGTAGGACATGGTGAATATAGTTAGTAATACTTCAAAATCACTAAAAGAGATCTTTGATGTTCTCACCACAAAAAAGAAATGACGATTATGTGATACAATGGAGCTGTGAGCTCTTCCATGATCTACGTGTTTTAAATCCACATGCTGCACACCAGCGTCATGCGGATGTTTTTACGTCAACTATAACTCAGTAAAGCTGGAAGGAGAGGGGAGGGTAGGGGAGGGGAGGGGAGGAAAAGCAAAGCAAAGCAAAGCAAAGCAAAGCAAAGCAAAGCAAAGAAAAAAGGAAAGGAACTGAGCCGCCGAGCCCTGAAGAGACGTGGAGGAACGTTACACGCGTACCCCTACGTGCGAGCAGCCACTCTGGAAAGGCCACGGGCTGCGTGACTCCCACCATGTGACATCTGGACAAGGCAAAGCCAGGAGGACAGGGAAGGCTCAGTGGCTGCCAGCCGACGGGGCAGGGGGCAGCGGGTGTGCTCTGAGAGACGCTGCCATGACACACACGTTCTGTCACGCGTGTCCGAGCCCACGGAACGCCCAACACCACGGGCCAGCAAGCGGTACGGTGAGCCGTGGGTGTGCGGTGTAGGGTTGGTCGTAACCGACGTCCCTCCTGTGTGCATGTTGGTGACGGGGAGGCTGTGTGTTTTTATGGGGGAATTTCTGTATCTTCCTTTCAACTTTGTGGGAGACCTGAAACTGCTCTTTAGAAAAGTAGTTACTTTAAAAGGATGATTCTTTTTTTTTTTTTTTTACTTAGATAACGTGAAAACCTCTCCAAACAGCCCTGTTATTTAAAAGCCAGTCAAGTACAACAGCCCGCCAAAGGCCCCTGACCTCCTTCATAGGAAGACTGGCAAGTGTCAAAGAGAGGCCAGGTCGAGCCAGCCGCTATTTACTCAGGAGGCCGAAGGGCAATTGTCAGAGTGAGTGTCCTTGTCCTGTGCCAGTGTAGGTCACCTCCCGGAAGTCCAGAGGAGACGCTACTTGGGATCAACACCAGCCTGTCCCCCACCTCCCGGTTACTGGCTGGGGTGAACTGTCACAGCCTCTCTGATGGTAGAAGCTTGGAGCCAGGCTGGCCAAGTTCAGGGTGACCCTCCACAGGCTGAGCAGCGACTGTCTGCAGGAAGCTGGCCCGGGAGGAGCCACGGCTCTGTGGCCGGGGGGAAACCCCAGGAAGAACTCAGGGGACAGAGTGGCTGGATCTGAAGAAATGTAAAATCTGAGGGCCTGCCTCTTCCACCTCGGCCGAATCA